CAGCAGCAGCCATCCTCGCGATAACACTCGCTGGCACCGGTCTCGAGACCAGTCAGTCAGTCGGTCGACCAGTCACATTCAGTCAGTCAGTTAGAGTCGAGACTAGCACTGTGCCCCCTCATTCTCGAGGCTCTCTGGATGCGCTTGCTGTGCTGCTCTCTCCGAAGCTATCATCATCATCATCATCTATAGACGGCGTCCGCTGCAACGGTGGTGGTGGCGGCATTTTCTGGATGCAGCAGCTGGCTGGATGTTTGGATGGATGGACGCACACAGGCAAATTGTGCTAGTTCGGATTGGTAACACAGGCGAGGTCTGTGCTTGCTTTTGCGCCTCCTATCCCGTACCAACAAAATACGTATATGCCCATGCGCACACACATACATATATATGTGTATATACACTTCCAGCCTTATTCCACTCACCTCCCACCCATCCAGAATTGGTGCTGGACAAGGACAACTAAAGTGGCAGCACCAGTAACGTTGACGATGATGATATTGATGGTGGTGATAGTGATGTCAACGACGATGACAGCACTTATTTGATACTCCGAACGCGCCAACAGCTGTATGAATTTGGTTACACTGGGCAACTAGTGGCAGTAGGCGTTGCATGACGCGGCTGATTAGCTGCTGTTGCTTGCGCAGGTTGTGGATGCACCAGATGATTTCCAGGAAGCAGGACCGAGCTTAGCCGGCAGGGCCATGACGCAGCGTATTGGCTGAATTAAACTTACCTAGCAAAACTACTGCATGTGCGATGGAGCGGTGAGGGAAGGACTGGAGTTATTCTGAAGTGGTTAATTCACCCGGAGAGACTGGTGTGACTCCGAAGTGGTCAGTTTAGGTCCGAGTGCGCAGCGGAAATAAATGCACGATTTTCAACAAAAATTTCATTCATAGTGGAGCCTCTAAAAGGCTGGCTAGTTCTACGTTCATAAGACAACTTTGCAGCACGTGAATTCGACAAAGCAGTTGTTCTATTATGTTAGAATGGTTTTCTTACTTATTCCAAATGCCGGAATCTTAGTTTGCTTCATTCATTGTTAAAATTGGATTCAATCTGCGCACGAAACTGAATCAACAGATCGGGAATGTTCCCCTCAGTTTTGAGTGGAGCTAACTGAATTCAAAGGTCGGAAGGTCGGTGCGTATAACAACATGTGATGAAGGTTCGATGCTTGAAAAACGAATCCCAAATCGGAAATTACAGAAAGCCTTGTAAAGATTGGGAATAGCATTAAAAATAAAAAGGATTTTAACAGATTCATTGAAAATGAGTTGAAAATGATCATAAAGTTGAAAATGCTGCTAGTCTGCGATGCATCTATCTTTGTGAACTGTGGCAGCTGAATTCAATTCATTTAACTCGCACTTTTTGGCAATCGCTCTTCGATCACAAAAGCAACTCGAATTTCGATGTATTGTCGCAGATGGTAAGAAAAGAGAAACATAAATTGATTCCAGGTTGGCGGCTCAGTACACAGTTTGCGACCTTGTTGCCATCGGTAAAAATTTGATTTTCAAGATTTAAAATTTGCTTCAATTTGAGCCAAATTTTAAGGACTAGAGCAGTGAATTAGAATACTTCAGCGTTGTAGTCACGGCGTTTGGAAAGCTAAATTTCAAGAACATAGCTTCGGACCTCATAAAAAATCCAAAATCAACTTTGAATTTTCCCTTTGCTCCAGCCAATTGCTACAATTTTCCGAATCAAAAATAAGTCATTTGTACCTACGATCACAGGGAAAAGCAAGGTTAATAAAATTGTGAATTGGCCCACCGTGATACAAGACAAGTGACCTGAAATTAGCTTTCGTTTCCTAACTTACTATGCCATTTCAAATTTCAGTAGGGACTAATCCTGCCTTTTAGATACAACCAATAATTCCGTCTGTAGAATTATTGAACGTGATGCAAAAAAAACGAACGATCGAAGCTCAAAATGAGTAATATTTCGATAACAATTTGTAGGTGAAGAAAAATGAGGCCGAAGTGAGGAGATGAATATACAAACATAGAAGCGTTAAAAATTGCTTCTTCACGAGCTTGTAGCTGTTCAGGAAAGTTGGCACTGACTGGAATAATACTGGACCGATATGTTAACGTAATGTTTCTCGAAGATTTCGTCCACTACAATTTGCTACCTTGTCTGGAAGTGGCAAATTCTGTTGCTACCGATAAATTACGTGCCGTCATTTTACATTGTATTTTTTGCAGCGTAAAATAACCTGTGACTTATTGGCAGCAAAATCTGGGTATGACACAATGTCAGAAGCGCAAAAATTTACGAAAAAATCTAAAACAAAAAGCATTAAACTCATTATGCGTTTTTGCATAATATGCAAATGCAAAAACGCATATTGTGATGACCCCGGTGTGTGTGTGTGTGTGTGTGTGTGTATGTATGTGTGTGTGTGTGCGCGTGTGTGTGTGTGTGTCT